CATATTTGTTCTCATTTGACGTCTTCGGCAATTTTTTTTACATAGACCGGTAAATAAGCTAATGGTCCTCCTGTTTTTAGGTAAGTAGTTACTGGAATCCGAAATCATCATCATAACATAAATCTCATCGCCATTTTATTGCAGATTGGTAGACGAAATAAAGATGTCTCACTTGGTATTAAATGGTAACCGGAGCTACCCAAGTAAGGACATAAAATAATTATGAAAGGTCATAAATTATTACTAACAGTAACAAAAATTAAGATACATTCCATACTGTAATATGAAAATGCGAATATTTAGACCGTACCACCACAAAAATATGAGTTCATTCTCACGTAGCGCATCCATCAGTGTCGATAGCCATTTCAGGTCACGATTCCTTTTCGCGATCGGTTCGTGTACCTAAATCGGAATCCTTAACATGTTTTTGTCTTACGAACGAGAGACAAAAGCATTCTCGTTGATAAAACACGATGTTTGCCGCGTTTATATTGTTTTATCATAATACAGGACGGTTATTGTTTCATGAGGAACGATATTATCCGAGCGGACTCCCGGGGCGGTCATTGTGTTCCTATATGGCGAATGTCAGAAGCGTCGTCTTAATTATCGGCCACAACTATACAATGCGGACTCGATCGCGCCGAGATAAGCTCCGATCTGAATCTATCTGAATCCGTATTCAATGCGATGCAATATTATACATTTTATTTTGTCCATACAGCTGCCTTAATCGAACTTTCGATCCGCTTAATAATTTCGTAATAACTCCAAACTTATGTCGCATTGTTTCTGCTTATTCTAATCTACGTCGGTGAGTATTGCAACATTGTTAAGTTACGAAATTGTTTCAGTGAAATAAAATTATTTAATACTAGATGTATCCCGGGTTTTGAACTATGCTTGGTAAGTATAGTTTAAATAGCATTAATTTAATTACGTTATGTTACGTTAGCTATATACATTAAGAGATGTATTTTCATTGTTATCAGATACAGTTATGTATATTTATTGCGAGTTATAACAGCAAGATAAATAATCTACAATAAACAGTTTGTTACTTACAGTTGTACCTTTTTGTACTCGATAAGCTTAAGCTTGTATCAAAAAAAATTCATTAAAATTGGTCCAGCAACAAATAAGCAATATTTTTGAGTAAGTTTTTATTGTACTAAGTTTGACTGATATATCTAACATCAATGACGGTGACCACTAATAGTGGATGGTAATTCAAGGTGTATCCTAAATGGGTACTACTACCTATCTTGAGACAATGAGTTCTAAGTCTCAATTGTTACAGAACATGTGTACATTTGCATGTGTTCTTCGCCGCAGGAATTCTATAATAGCGTTATGGAGACAGCGCTAGGTTTAGATAAGGCTAGGGATAGAAATCTTGGTCCGTAACGACTGATCAGAATGTTCATTATTATCCTTGACCGTCACACTCGATGTTGCTGATACACCAAAAAACAAATACTGACCGAAATTTTATACTTTAAATCATATTTAAAGGCAATGTAATAAATTCAATTTAAAAATTAGGCGACGCGCGATCCTTTAAGCAATTTAGGAGGTTAGTCGGTTAATTTAGTTAGTACCTATACTCGAATAAAGTCCTTTTTTTGAAGCTGGTCGTCACACGCGCTTTTAAGTCGTAATGAATTTAGTACTGAATATTGATTAAGTAAAACAACGAGTATTGTTATTACATGTTTACGGTTTTAATTTAATAGTTCGGCTCTAGTAACATCGCACATTAAAGTCTCAATCAACAAAGTATTGTAAAGTCGTCGTGGCCTAAAGGATAAGACGTCCGGTGCATTCGTATATTGCGATGCACCAGTGTTCGAATGCCGCAGGCGGGTACCAATTTTTCCAATGAAATACATTCTTAAAAAATGTTCACGATTGACTTCCACGGTGAATGAATAACATAGTGCAATAAAAATCAAACTTGCAAAATCATAGTTTGCGTAATGACTGTGATAGGACTTCTTGTGAGTCCGCACGGGTAGGTACCACCATCCTGCCTATTTCTACCGTGAAGCAGTAATGCGTTTCGTTTTGAAGGGCGTGGCAGCCGTAGTTGAAAGTGAGACCTTAGAATTCATGTCTCAAGGTGGGTAGCGGCATTTGTGTTGTAGATGCCTATGGGCTCCGCTAACCACTTAACATCCGGTGGGCCGTGATCTCGTCCACCCAACTAAGCAATAAATAAATAAAAATAATTATTTATAAATTCGTTTTGATATTTGTATTTAACTACCTACTACTCAAACAGAATACTATTACTATAGTATGCTTTTACAAGATGCTTAGATAAACAATAAATCGAAACAATGACTTAAAACCTCAATTATCCAAACCAGACTAACCAGATCACCTTCTACGGATAATCTAGTATATCAAGTATACACGGTTAATATCTAATTTAATTGTACGAAGATGCTTCGTGCAGCTTGTCTTTAATGATAACGCAGTTTTCAAAGGAAGTGTCGGAAAACAATAATCAGGGAATTTCCGATTTCCACTTCGACACGTGGGCGATGTAACTGGCTCTGATCTTTGTGTAAACTTGATTTTCCCATGGATAATTGATCGTCCACACCATTGTGTCATTATGGAGGTATAGGTTTTTTTTTTCATTTGTAAGTTTGTACCGACTTAAATGATTCGTGGTGTGGGAACATAAAATGCCGAGTTGTTAATTACAGGTTAATTGATTAAGGCTCGTCGTGGCCTAAAGGATAAGTCGTCCGGTGCATTCGTTGTTGCGATGCACCGGTGTTCGAATCCCGCAGGCGGGTACCAATTTTTCTAATGAAATACGTACTTAAAAAATGTTCACGATTGACTTCCACGGTGAAGGAATAACATCGTGTAATAAAAGTAAAAAACCCGCAAAATTATAATTTGCGTAATCACTGGTGGCAGGACCTCTTGCGAGTCCGCACGGGTAGGTACCACCGCCCTGCCTATTTCTGCCGTGAAGCAGTAATGCGTTTCGGTTTGAAGGGTGGGGTAGCCGCTGTAACTATACTGAGACCTTAGAACTTATATCTCAAGATGGGTAGCGCATTTACGTTGTAGATGTCTATGGGCTCCAGTAACCACTTAACACCAGGTGGGCTGTGAGCTCGTCCACACATCTAAGCAATAAAAAAATAAAAATAAAAAGGCTCAGATCACAAGTTCGTGAACAAAACATTTGAACTGAAATCGGGCTAGCAACAAACAAAGTTCAAAATGCATTTTTTTTATTGCCTTTGTAGGCAGACGAGCATACGGCCCACCTGATGGTAAGTGGTCACCGTCGCTCATGGACGTCAGCAGAGCCAAGCCGCTGCCTACCATAAAGTACTATCCGCAAGTCTCGCATGGCGTCGTGTCTCTTAATAATTAGTTATATGATATTTTTGTTCGTGCTCCAAATGACACTATAGAGAAGCTTTTTGACACACTCCGTTTGTCGTACGACAGATGTGTTACATGCATTTAGTTATGATTACAAGAAATGGTGGCCAGAATTAATTAGAACAAAATTAAATTAAAAATAACAATCAACAATCCTATCCCCTTTTGTTTAATTATTTCCCTTGGAAACTAGTTAAAACAACAAAGCCAGCTACATACCTGTACTCCAAACTAAAATAATGTTACACATTATTGAACACGTAACGTGAAAAACGATACAAATTATATATACGAGTGAGCGCGCAGCGTTAAGGCGCTGATATTGTTTTGTTTTGTAATTCGAGCAGCCCAACATGGCAACAAAAAAGTTATGAAAGTGAATACACGAAGAAGGTGAACGAGATACGGTGGCTGAGAGCGGGCGAAACTGACACGAGATGCCTGCGGTCGGATTCTTCCCGGCCACTCACAACAAACTACGCATTTTATAGAGTTCGCCCGTTAAACAACAAAAATATTAGTAAACAAAAAAAGAAAATCGTTAGACAAACACAAAAGAAAAACGTACTCAACTGTACTGTTTATCTATGCATATTGATGTAGGTATATGTAGATACATAGATTTTCAAGCGATACCATGTTACTAAAGTAACTCCAACGCCATTTATACGAATGCTAAATTTTTTCGAAGACACATATGTTTTTGTAATACCATCTTTTACAGAAAATGGCGTCTGATAAATCGATTTATTTATTAATTCGAGTTTCTAAAATACTGATTCTTTCAATGTGATACAATACAAATAACGTCAAACAACGAATGAGCATACATTTTAATGCTGAAAATAGAACCCAATTTTTTTTAATCGTCAATTTATGTTAATGTAGGTTACAATTTATATTCGCGATGCAAATTACTTCGAGTCGATAAAATTACACGTAATACACTTCGCTCGTAAATATTAATCGGATAACGTTTCTGCGGCTCTCGTTATTTCAATAATTTTACATCAAGTATGACTACTTGAATTCAGAATGTCTAAATGAAGTCAACCCTAGAAAAGTAGCGGCAAATTTTACGATTGCGAATACATTTGCAGCGTGCAAAATCAACTTTCCAAGGTTCGGTTAGTACTAAACATGCGGTCACTTTAGTGCCAAGGTTAGTTTTTTTTTTTTATAAAAATGTAGATGGCACATTCAATAAAGTCAAAAATCCGCTTAGAAGCAATTCAGAAAGATCTCAAATCTGATATTAATGCTATGCTAATGATGTTGATGTTTTTAGTTAGCGTGATGTGGATCACCAGTCTTTAAAACATTAATTGCTGCCTCGTTTTACGTCTAATTTCAGTGACGTTATCATACGACGGTTTACTTAATGGCATTTTTTGTTGAGGATAAAATAATCTACAAATTAAAAGAAGAAAATCGTTGTATGCCGACAAACTTTTAGACTGTTAACTACATTTGCATCTTCTAAATCTTTATCGCAAATACGATAGAATCCTAATAGCGCTTAAAAATATGTTTAATTGATTAGTAATAAATAAATAAAATCGTACAAAATCATTTCTCACCTTTACAGTTTGATTTTTAAGTGGTTTGTCGGGATCGTGTATGTACTCAAGTGTAATCCCGTAGAACTGGCCCTTGTTGATGTACGTGATACGGTCGTCTTCGCGCCGCTGTGAACTGCTGCTCGCCGTTTCCAAATGGTATTTGAACCCATATGGGGAAAACCTTATATAAGATAAAAATATTCTAGTTAGTATTTATTATATTTAAAAAAACAAAGCCTTACAAACTACAAAGCGTTTCGTAGATTTTAGATAAACCGTCAAAATGTCGCATGTTGCCGAGTAACGCAGTAGACTATTACACATAAAGCGTCGTTGGAAGACGAAATGTACAATGGCAGCAGGTTTTTGTTACATTTAGAAAAAGTACGATTTCTTCTCTGAGATACTTATCAACGTACACACGTTGTCGGCAATAAAGTTTCCACGAAGCAATAAAATGCGCAAAAAGTGGAAATCTTAATTGCGCAGTCGGCCCGTCAACGGAGCTGTTACAAAGACATAAACGTCCAGTTCACTGTACGCAAGCATTTTCTCGTTATTTTCCGAGTATTCGATGAACGGAAGGAAAACCTCACTAATTCAGTGGAGATCGCGTGCTGCGAATCGTTAGCTATTCGTGTCGTAGTCCACACAGCAGCGATCGACAGGGTACTGCCACGCGCACCTCGCACTTCCCTCTTGTCGCTCTAGAGATCTGTGCCCAGCCCACGCAGAGACAGCACACTCGCACAAAGGGAAAATTACAATAACAAACGGCCCCGTCATTATCGACTCTCTTGTAATTTTACTTATGTAATCAAATAAGAGCACAGCACTATATAATATAAGATATTTAACAATTTAAACTGCTAATAAATCTCAACCCAGGAATGCGTACCACTCGGTACAATTTAATTTAGAAGTTGCACAATTGCCTTATTGAAAACGATTTAGTAAACAGCCTCATTGATGGTTGCTGTTCAAACCGACCTAGCGAAAAGATAAAAGCCGTGTAATGCAAACAGCGTTCGACGTTGACGGATCGGTCGCCGCGGTACTCGCCTATCTGATGCTCCCTAAGTGATTCCGAGCGCAATTTACATTTGCAACGTCTTTCTGTATTGTCATTTTGACTTCCCTATCCTTTGTTTACCAATACTTGACGGACTGTTCGCGATCACCAGCTTATTACGTTTGTGACATGCTAAATAAATGGCCGCTTTTCGGTTCGTTCCATTCTTTTTCGCCACAATGCAATGCAGATCCAATTATATATTTTTTTTACTTTTTTAAATAAAGAATATGTACATTGTTTTCAAATAAGGCTCATTACAAATTTCAGATGGACAGACACTAAATGAAAAAAAAAAAAACATACTTCCTGTGTAAAGTCAGAGGAATTGCGCTTCATGAATAAATCAAGTCGCGAGGCGCGGAAATTGATGAGTACGCAAAAAATCCCCAAACGCAGCGACAACAAAATGCCCCTGATAAAAACACAAACGATAAGAGACCGCGATTCAGCTCCCTGTAGGGAAGCGTGGACTCACTACCAAATTGGATGCGCATAAATACCACATTACTCTTATACGTATCTTTACCTCTACAGAATGTTATAAAGAAACGAGAATGCTTACTGCAAAATGTATCGGTGGTTTTAGCGAAATGACTTTGGTGTGATTATATGGTGTTTATCTAGTTGTACAATAAACTCCAACATACTCGTACTTAGTTCGGAATTTAATAATATTCTTCCCTTATACTAAACTCAAAAGTAAAATAAATTCAGTTCAAAAAAACTTAAACAACATTTTGCACTTAAAACAAACAGACTTTTTGAAAGATCCTTGTCGTATTTTAGCATGTAAATCAGCCATGCTCGACTCTGCCATGTTGCTCATAGATTAGTTACCGACAACATAATCTAGTGTAGATTTTAAAATACCGATCTTTTATTTTAATTCAGCTCAGAATAAAATTATAGACAGGTATAATTCTAATTAAATGTTTGTAAAATGTTTTATTAAATTGAATCTTCAACAAAGATGTATTAATTTACCGTGGTATTGATCAACTATTTGTTGTTTCTTGTTTATACTGTAATTAAATTAAGTGTTGAAACTAAACCAATATACCATAGTTTTCGGATTAAATACTATTTTGCCTCCAAAAGGTAACGATTGCTAAACCTAATTTAACAGTCAATGGAGTTAAGTCATAAAACAGTGACAGTTTTAGTAGATGTATGCAATAACCATATTGGCAATTGCCATTTTAAACAGAAATAGATAAACTTTCTTTTCACCATATTGTAATCCTAAAATAGCTAGATATTTTCTGTGTGGGACAGTGAATTCACGGTAAATGGCGGGCGTATTTAATGAGAGCGCTTAGCTCCGGTAATGGCGGCGCAATGATTGTTGGGTACATTTGACAGGCAACACGAGGCCTTCCGTCCGTCTCATCATTGCTAGACTATGGTTATTTATCGCTGCGGCTATAACAAATGGTAATGCCGAACAGTATGAAGCTTCTGAGCTCTTCATAGTATGCAATCTTACTAAATTGACCACATCTGAGGCACAATTGAGGATTTAAACTTTTTTAATTTAAGAGATTTTTAATGAAATAAATTATATTATAATAATATATTACCGGTGTATATTTTTTGAAATCTTTAAAAATGTAAGTGGTTTAAAAAATAAAGGCTAAAGAGCTCGGGACGCAAGAATAATTCGAGAATTCGAGATTCAATAATTCGATATCAATAAAAAGAATTCGTTTTTCAAAAAGTACATTCTATCATATGAAATTTTTACTATTAGTCTTTCTCTTTCACTAGCGTATGCTAGAGGACTAGCTGACAGGCCAAAGAGGTGTCAATTATTAACAGAACCTATCAACAAAATGTCGTACGAATATCATCGCACGTCTTGCGAGTTGACGTCGAATTCTGTATCGCGTTCAAACACATGCTCAACAGAAAGAGGCGGTTCGGTGGTAATGATCAGTGCCCTACCGGTACCTACTCTTTACATTATTTGCAGAGAGAATACAGGAATTGCGTCTAATACAAAGGTAAGAACACTAGTTAGTATTTTGGCTGATTTTAGGGAAGTTGTATTTAGTAGCGTGAGGGGTCCAGAGTGCCAATATTTATTTCAACAAAAAGTTGTAGCTCTGGCCTAATAAATGGCTGGAGAGAATCATTGACATCATATTACAGCTATTTCCAAGAGTATATGAGGCTTAAACGCATTACGTTAAATGGATTTTATGGTAAAATTACGCCGAATTCTTTTACGCGTCTAGAATGTCAGTGAAGGAATTTGTTTTCACTGTGATTTAATTAAAGAGCAAGAATATAAAAAAGAGCTACGTTAACAGCAGCTTTGAGAATAGATATTTAAACGAAAAATGGTACGAAAACGCCATTTTAAAATATTTAATGGCGCATAATTCATATTTCGATATTCATTTATTTAGGAAACAGATGTGAACGAACTTGAGCTCGCCTGTACAGACAGCTAAATTCAGAATTTATATCACCGTGATCAATAAGCCATAGTAATGAATGATTTTATGAGAAAAGAATTCTACAAAAATCCTTTTGTATTAAAATTTAAAATCGATTACAAATATTCATATTATTTGGTTAGTGAATGTTTTCTTTTTACAAACGATGATGAGCGCATCCTGTATTTGCCGAGAGGTCTAATCGCGTATGTACACGGTAGTTGATTAAGTCGACATTGCTTTTAAAAGCTTATTCCTGGGCTTGAGTACAAATAAATGAAACGTGTATTAGAGAGATTGAGCGACCGCGTATTGCCCGGGTACCTACTTAACTCTCTGGTAAGTAATAGTCCAAACATTTGTGAGGGCGTCGGGATGTTTCGGGGCAAAGGCTTGTATAACGGTAGTCTGGTGATAAGTGACATGGTCACTACACAAGGTGATCGCGGATCCGAATCCCGTCAAGGGAAGATATTTGTATGATAAATATAAAAATGTCTTTTCCAGGGTAATGGATGTATATTAAATATATGTATGTGTATAATAAAAATATTACATTTATTTCTGTTATCTGGTACCTGTAACACAAGTTCTTTACGAACTTACCACGGGACCAGTTAACGTGGCGTCATTGTTAGTAAATATTTATTTATTTATTATTATTATTATTATTCGTTAGGCTAACGAACGCGTATCGGTAACGAATGTAATTTAAGACGGTTGAAGCGACTGAGCTATTTGGCCCGAATGCAAGCAAGTAATTATCGAGATAATAATGCTAATGCACTTATCATGTCGACGAGCGTTTCCGCCGTAACGCGACCGAGCTCTTTTATAAGCTAATACGCTTCAACAATTTAACTGTTTTCTTTGTCACCACAACGGCAATGAAATACTTGAACGCACGAATCTAGTTTTAAAAGTTCTAAATCAACTTGATTAACTTCTCTCTTTGTCAAAATTTTTTTTTATTGCCTTTCTAGGCTGGCGAGCGTACGGCCCAATGGTGAGTGGTTACCGTCGCCCATGGACTTCAGCAATGCCAGGGACAGAGCCAAGCCGCTGCCTACCGCTTAATACTCTCCACAAGCCTCGTTTGAAGAAGGACATGTCATAGAGCTCGGGAAACACCGTGGAGGGGAGCTCATTCCATAGCCGGATGGTACGTGGCAAAAAAGATCTCTGGAAATTCTCTTCAATAATTATTAATAACAACAATTGTAATTTGTTCCGGTAAACAAAATATTTTAATTGAAATCAATAATTTGAATCGAGTTTGAGACGCAGGATGGCCGTTATTCTTGAGCAATTGAGACTTCGAACCTCGTGTTTCAAAGCTCGTAGCCGAATTAAGTTCAAGCGTCGGTAACGTAACCGCTTCATGGGGGCTTTAAATACTTCGGCTTATCTACGTATAAAAAAAATCACAACCATGTTTTCCCAATGCCGTGGCAGATTTTTTTTTTTTTTATTGCTTAGGTCGGTGGACGAGCTCACAGCCCACCTGGTGTTAAGTGGTTACTGGAGCCCATAGACATCCACAACGTAAATGCGCCACCCACCTTGAGATATAAGTTCTAAGGTCTCACGTATAGTTACAACGGCTGTCCCATCCTTCAAACCGAAACGCATTACTGCTCCACGGCAGAAATAGGCAGATATCTCAGAGACATACGTCCGCTAGTTTACATTGCAGGAAAATACTCAAATACCCCGTAATGGTCTCAACTACGCCTGTCAAAATCTCACAAAATTCATTTACCAGTGAAAGTGTTGAAAAAAATTAAATTTTCAATGAAATACTCACATCTGTTTTCCACGTCCAGCGGCAAATGATTGCGTGTAAATTGGTTTAATTTTCATAATGTCTCAATATGGTCCGCGCGAAATACACATAACTCGGCACTTATTCGTCAGTCAACAGTTAAGTACATAATATGATTGATTCTTGAACGACAGGTATACTTGCACCGCATTACCTATTTCAATATAATTGACTTGCTGCCATTTTGTATTTAGTATTTGAAATAGTCGAAAAATCATCTAAATAGATACCTACTGAATTTATGTTAAATATTACTCACCTAACTAACGAGCTGATTCATATTCTAATATTCTGATCATTAGTGTATTATCCTTATTTGATAAGACGCAAAGATACCAATGTACGTTTTGATAATACATTTTCCATTAAAATAGCTCACTTCTAAAAACGATCGTCGTTTAATGAAAAATATCTAACCATTAGTGTTCGTTATAATGGGTAATAATCCTTTATTAACACCATGTATGAGTAATTTGATTATATCTTGATAAATTATAAACCTGATTAGGAAGTCGATCCTTCCAGAAGACTTATAAACAACACCACTAAAATAATTCACAACAATATTTACATATATAATTACATGTGGCGACTGATTTATCACATAATAGTATGCTGAACTTAAAAAATATACCACTTTTATATTACATGAATTTCATCACAACAAACGAAGGAATGATGATGTTTGTGTGAAGAAATATTGTTTTTAATAGCAGATGACATCACTTTTTGCTGTGTACTCTTCAGCATTCCCTAGTGCGTAGAATAATCTTTTGACAATAAACTATTGGAATTAATGTTTAAAAAAAATCAAGCTAAGAATAACTTCAAGACTAAGATCTGAACAATCGAATTGACAAGTAGCCATCTTCGCCAAGCCAGATGGCAACTCGATAAAAAAAAAACCTCCTTTTATAAACAAGACAAACGTAGCGAATCTCAATGCTACTGAGAGGTATGTGCTGTTTAGAAACCAACCACCCCTTCTCTTCAAAGGTGGTTAAGCCATTATACAATGAAGACTTTGTCTTTCTGTATCAGGTGCGTGGTACGTGGTGGCAATCACGGTGTTGTCTATGGACTCTGAACTACTTGACAACAAGCCCAGAGTACGCCCATTCATCTAATGCAATAAAAAAGGGCGTCTAAACACTGAATATTGTCCACAAAACGAAAAGGGTAGTTATCACTGAGAAAATGGAAGGTTTTATGCTACAATAGGGGCTGGGAATATAAGTAGGTATACTAAAAAGAACAATAGTAATATTTTGCTGAACCAAGTACTACGAATCGAAGGTAAGTGATTTATAGTATATATGTACATGATGTACAGACGTATTGATATTATTTATTCTTAATTCAGAGCGGATGGAACCGGAAGACACGCCTAGTATGAATAAAGTTATAATAACTATTTGGTACAATGAGGTGTTTTCATCAAGTAGTGTTTTATAAGTGATTTAAATAAATTTATTCAAACATAGTAATTTAAAATATACATTTATTCTATGCCAAAGAATGTACTGATTGGGAATGTTATACTTTGAATGCTGTCGTAAGTCCGTTTTTTGTTATATCTGAACCCAACAACAAAGTCATAGAAATGTAAATGAATAAATAACATAAAAAAAATCATAGCTATTTTATCGTAACATAAAATAAGTCAGTGTGAAGATTTGCATAACATATGACCAGAGTTCGTCGTAAAATATAAAGCGGCACACTGACGGATAAATAACCAAATTTAGGTTATAAATCCAAAAGTATTTTTGATTGGCTTACTCAAGAATTTAATGACGCCAAGAAATATCTGGTCATCGAAATCGTTTTGGCGGCAATTATTTTACTCAGAAAGAACCGTTATTTCATCAAAAGCGTTAAAACAATTAAGCCATTTTAGTCTCTAAACCAAATTACCTTGTCAGTTTAGGAAATTACTAATTTACATCCACTATTGTGTATTCGAAGATCACGAAGTACTATTTAGCACCTTTTAAAAAACTATCCCGTTGAAATAACGTACAATCAAAGCGAGAAGAGGCGCCGACTGCTGCAGTAAAAGATTGTAAACTTTATTTAGAACTTCTAGCTACTTCCCAATATTGAGGATGTTATACATTATATTTTTTAATTTGATTCTAAAAGAATTTCCTGATAGTCACCTTAAAATGTTTGTCTCTACTAAAATATATAAATGATTTAACAGATAAGATAAATGGTAATTTATGAACTTGACTACAAAATTAATGCAAACACCTTTTAACTGATATATGTATATACAGTTTGACAAACATGTTCAAAATACACTAAAGTTCATTAAGGTTACTCTGGTGACATATGCTTTTGGCTACGATAAGCTATGCGATGCGCAGCTTGGGATATTATCAAAAGTTTTTCCTTGCTTAGTTTTCACAGTGCCAAAGACCGCGCGGAAAATGGTGTTTCCAATTTAGTTACTCAAGCTATTGACGCGAAGACAGAGCGATGTGTGTGTTCGAATATCACAAAATAAATGTTTCCTGGAAAGGGCCGCATTATAACATCCACTCGAGGTGCTAAGTGGTTAGTCAATACAGTCACTCGTGTATCTGCTTACACTAACAAATTGTACGTGTACCTACTCGAACTACATGTCACTGTTTCTAGAAGTTTCCAACCAAAATCAATTCGATTAGAATCGAGTTTCATTATGACAGGAATCGGGTATAAATCAAACCGTTCATGGTCAATTTCCTTTTAAAACTTAAACTTTCTACTGTTGATTGCGAGTGTAATCGTCGAGGAGGTAATTAAAATAGAATCGGAGGTATAAGCTAAGAGGACTTAACGTATATACATAGTGCCATAGTCACATCTTCGTCTTCATACTGCTTTAGCATATAACGGAAAATTATAATTAAATACAAACTTTATGTAGATATGTGACTTTATAAATAACTATTCCAATAAACTAATAGTCCTCCATGAAATAAATGACGATTAGTTTATAAAGTATAATCCTAAATAAATTTTAAAAATTCTAAATAGAAATTTTTAAAATTTAATTAATCCGAACGTAATTCTGTTGTTAAATAATCAAAGAAATATATTAAGCGATTATTCAAATGGATTATTCTAAATAAGTTTTTCTATTTGTGTTTCGACGATTGCGGGTACAAGTATACCTTCGGATTTTCATGCAGCATCCAAGTTATGTCTATTAGGCTGGAGATATATTATAATATACTAAATTAACTGTTTCGAAAATAGCATAATAACGTTTCGTCTTCATACTGTCTACCCATTGCACCGAGCCCATGGGATCATGCGTAAGGACTCGATAATACAGTACAACGGTACAACTCAAAAGCGAGGCTTGCGCAATCAAAGCCTTCGTAAAGATCAAGCCAATATGAAGTTCGATATTAGAATTAATCAAAAAAGGTTGTGCTTCTTACCGTTGACAAAGTTTTAAGCTTTAAACGCGTTTTACAAGGTATTTTTGCAACAATTTAATGATAATTTTTTTATAATTAAATTTGCTCGCAGTTTAAAAAAAAGGATCAAACCATGGATTCGTTTCAAAATTGTTTAGGATACTAAAGTGTATTTATTTGCCTCCTTTATACCAATAAAAAAATCACTTAGCATAGAACATGTGGGATAGATATAAATCAATCAAAGGCAAAAACTATAAACATGCCTTCAAAGGTCAATTCTTCGAAACTGTATTATTATAATAAGCTTGATCCTTTTTGGCAAACTTCGTTTAAATATAAAGTCACTTACAATTTAGCGATTTGAATTTTATCGGCGTCATTCTGTCTTCCAAAGTCATGCCAGGGTCGCGTGCGTGGAGCCTGCGCGGGCGAGTGATGTGCCGACGGGGTGCCGCGGCCGTCCTCGCCGACGCCGGGCTGCTGGCAGATTACCGTGTAGTCGAACGACTGCGCGGATAATAAACAACGTTAAATCCTACAGCAATAAGATCAATTTTATTTAACACATTCAAAGTATTTGCGGCCACGTGTTTTCCCAATACACCTTTATTTATTTACTTTTGTGCAATCATTAGTAATAATGACTAAGCAGTTTTTAATGAGGTAAATCGCTGGAAATGATTTCGAGACGTAATATTCGGATCAAAAAAGTTTAGGTTCATAAATTAGTTCCACCTCCTGTCCTAAAGAGTGCGGCAGCGTTGACTGGTTATCGCGTGTAGGCTACCGGTTGAGTGGATGGATCGTAAGTGGTATCTTTTCCTTATAGACTTCGGTTGTTATGCTACCTATCAAGACTGACTTCAATAACTGGAATTTTATAGCCACAGATGTACCTACTCCTGTTATCATTTGGAAAATATTCCTACGTTAATTCAGTAATTATACAACGGTTTACACTATTTCTTATCGTGGTGTTTATTTTCTTTCGGAGCGTGAATATTTATTTTAATCGAAAAACACATTAGCCAAGTTACCTTCAGCAAATAAAAATTACACTTAATTTTCCTTTAAGGCTAATGCATTTCAGAGACATGTGTTAATTTCATATATCGCACCTTTAGAATTGAAGTGGCTTCATAATTATGTTCTCACATATTTTGTGGCTGAACTAAAAACAACTAAGGAGCATTGAATAAATGACAACCATCTCATCCTCTATGTCTTTTCAAATTATTGGAAATACAATAAATTGTTACGCTTCATTCAGGATATTGAATACGTAATATAGCTACTGTAGACTACTTACTATCTATTAGATATTGTATTCTTGTTAACTTATAAATTGATTTCCATCTATCTTTGTTAAGCACATCATTTGGAATTTTTCGAAATTTGATAAAGCGTAATTATCTCGTTGTTAATGTAAAAACAGAACTGTGGAGTGATATTTTGTGTCGCAATATTCCATAAATTATGTCTAATTGACAACTAATTTATGATAATGGTGACACATTAAAATATCATTGTAATTACGTCACCGTTAGTTACCACTAGGATTTTCCGTTTTTATTTATCGATTTTACCTTTTGGAATATGATTTATAATAATCGTTTAAGAGCAATTGTATTAATTTTGGTTAGGTACATTGGATTTTGTATTCGTGCAGACCTATTTATGTTTTGATCCCTTCAATCAAGTTTTTGATCATAGCCTGCTCTTTAACGTAAAACCCAAAAAAGATTCTCAATGAATTTCTAGCATACCCAAATTTCAAATATTATAGGCATTCCATTACAGCTCGAAGTGCAGCTAAACACGTACAGAAACAGATTGAAATTGCGATAACTATATCATTGCAGTGAGCTCAGGCGGCTCAAGCACTTCATTCCGCTCCCAGAGAAGCTTAACAAGCAATTCCATCAACGAACTACAGTAGCAAGCTGTCGTGTTAAATTTATATTGTGTCAGCCGAGATAACAAGAGGCGAATTTATAAACGTCCAATCTAGATCACTCAAGTGAGTAAACGGAGTAGGTGGAATGCTCGTGATCGCCACGCCCTGAGTTTGCATAGTCCTTCAAAACCACTTAACTCTGAACCCGATTGTAATCGAGCAGATTTGTTAGTTTAATGTGTAAACTCGTAAATTTAATGCTGAATGCGTGGTGCAGATGATTAAGCGAAGGTCTTGCGTGCCGTCAGCTCCATTGTCTAGACGTCAATGGTGTTGTAATTAACGAAAACTAGTTATTATGCCTATAGACATAACATTTTAATTATTGAATAACATTAATCTTATTGGATTAAGCTTCATTTTTTTTATGAGATTCGATTCGACTAAGGTTTTCATTGGATTATAAAGTTCTTATTGTATTTTTAGAAATTGAGATTGGACTGCAATTAAACCCATAACTTTAGATATTTTATGAAGTTAAGATACCTAAGTGGACACAAATACAATGATGTCTAGAACTAAACAAATATATCCGAATACATGTAGGTATTTACATGTGTGGAAATATCAAACTAGAGCGCGGGTGGGCTTCGATCTGTGTTGCGTAATTTTGTCATGTATGTTTGTAGCCAATAAATAATCTTGGGTGTATTATATGCTCGATTCAATAGTTATTGAATGAGCAACAAACAGTTTTAGTACATTGAGAAGTACTTAACATTTTAATTCGCTATGATAAAGAAACGAAAACAATTGTTTTATAATTTAATTAGCACCGTTAGGTATGTGCTCTCAATGTACAAAAACATTTCGATACTGTGTAAGTATATGGGACATGAAATTATTGATAAAGTGTAATAGTAATTTCATTTAGTGTGAATGTGAACAAAATGCCCTAAGTGGATGTCAGCATAGTGTAGTAAAGAATGCCCGCCCGCGCCCTGGTCGTAGCACCGACCTGCTGCACGGCAGTGTGGTCCCGAGGGGTGACTGCGTCAGCACCGATGCCACTATCCGGTGATGGCAAGTCCACTGTCAGTCCGGCTGCTGCGATCACGCTCTTGCTGTGATACCGTGGTGCAGCATATCTTTCGCTAAACGCAGAACCTGAAGCCGGTTCTCCATCATAAGGTGGTGCAGCTCTCTGCTGGTAGCCTTCTCCGACAAAATATTCTCTGTAGTAAGGTTCACCCGCAAAAGTCGAAGGCTGTCTTGAATATTGATCGCCATAGGGGGTGGGACTAGGTGTGCCCGGTGGAGCAAACATTTGGGTGGTATACATCGTTGCGTCCGGAAGTAGTGAACCTGCTGAAGAAGCTCGCGATGGCACCGGGGACGGCGACGCCGCTTCACCAGGCTCGCCGACCGCCACCTGCGGACACACGCGTCTGTTACACGCGTTCTCCCACGACAACTGTCCGCTTCGTAAAGTAGACGCGTACATGCCGCGTCTATACACAATTCACAGCTTCACGTACACTAGGTTCTTTCGACCTCGACACGTTCACAACAACTAATGTAAACAATCCGTGGTAGTGTAGTCTAGAGGGCGCCTGCGTCGATGCGGTCTGGGCGGGNCCACCTGCGGACACACGCGTCTGTTACACGCGTTCTCCCACGACAACTGTCCGCTTCGTAAAGTAGACGCGTACATGCCGCGTCTATACACAATTCACAGCTTCACGTACACTAGGTTCTTTCGACCTCGACACGTTCACAACAACTAATGTAAACAATCCGTGGTAGTGTAGTCTAGAGGGCGCCTGCGTCGATGCGGTCTGGGCGGGCAGCGCTTGCCGGCCAGATAAGGGCGCGGGCGGGCGCGGCTAGTGCGATTCGAGCGAGTTGCTCGGCGCATCGTACGCAAACCGCGTTAAATAATACATGAGTAACTAGTAAGTGTGTGAGTGCGTGCGCGCGCGACGGCGGCGTACGAACGTGTGACGCACCTTATGTCGAGGCGGCTTGAGCGCGTGCGGCTCGGGCTCGTCGACCACCTTGCGGCTCAGGTCCTCGGGCTCGCGCTTCACGAGGCCCGCGTGGAGCAGGCCCGAGAGTTCGCCCAACTCCGCCCCGTGCGCGCCATTGGCTGCCTTTAGTGTTGCGCCGGCCCTGCGGAGGGGAGACAGGTCTGATTGGCGACAGTGCGCGCGCGCCGCTACTTCTGTTCAAGCGACCTCGCGACGCGCGCACTGTCATTCTCATACACCGTAATATTTAAATTTCAATATTATATAATACCTATTCTCCTAACAAAAGCAGTAGATAATGATTAATAAAAGATTCATCAATCGATTTGTGGTTTCTAGCACTTAATATTAATTAATATATTATTATTTACTTAATATTAATAGTACTTATTCATAATAAATAGAAAAACAATGAAGATATACATACATAGATAGATATATTTAAACGAAATTTATTACTATGTCTATATTTATTGATCTTCAAAAAATTACAACACAAATTATTGAATTTAGGACCCTCTTTTAATTTGACGGGGATTAAAAAACTGTCAAGACGTCTAGACACTAATATACCTCATGACAAAAATAAAGAGTTCATTCACCAAAAAACTCTTCACGAAAAACGTAAGAAGAAGAAAAAAGTACGAAAACGTCAAAAATAGCTGAGGGAACTAATACTATCATAATTACCAAGTATCGTGTGTTGTTTTTTTAATGTAAAACTATAATTATACAGAATAATAGTTAATTTAGGTATAATTTCGACGTCAAGACTGCAAGAAGCCCATTGCTATAATGAAATTTAAAAAAAAACACCAATGTTTTCGAAAAAATGCTGGGAGTAAACACAACTTAATTTTGAAGCAGTGTTTAAAAAAATAAAATAAAAAACATTACGCATTTGGCAAAGACTTCTTTAACATACGGCCTTCCGAAATATCTAACTACCCCATAATCCATCCATCCATGCTTATCACAGGTACCTAGCACATCTCTTTATTGACCAATTTTAGATCATCTTGCTGGTCTAGTGGTTTAAATACGTAACTTTAGTATTTACTCTGGCATCGATTCCCGATTGCAATGAGTCTCTTTGTAGAGACATTACGGAATTTTGCGACGTTCCTGTCGCATATAATATTTACAATTTGAATGCAGACACCAACCTTGAGACATGAGGTTGAGCTTTAATTATATTGCACTAAGGCTGTCTATCCTTCAAATCCAAAAGCATGACAAATACGCACCCGAAATTGGCAGAATAGCAGTGTCAACTCTTGCGGGATTACCTACAGCACACTCTACCCACCGATGCAAATATCTAAATTGTACGGATTTGATTTTTATTTTAGGTATAAGATATACCTCAGTTGTGGAAGTCAGTCCTTAAGTACGTATTTTCTTAAAAAATTGAACGCCGGTGATTTGAACACCAGCATAGTCGCATCACTCAATACGAGTACGCCCGAAGCCTTATCCTTTTAGCCAAGACGACTTCAAAATGTAGTTTTAATTCCATCCCTAATTTTTCAATCACAAGCCTTTCAATCCCAAGGAGGTTTACACAACTATTACCTATATAGGGTATCCATCCAGACGAATAGAAGAAAAAAGAACTAATCCACAATCAAACTCATACTAATATTCTACGCGTATCACCTAGTAAACTGTCAAATATCGCCAATTAATGACTGAGCTTGAACTGGTTATTGAGTACGGCTAATAAAAGTATCAAAATCGAAGAATCGAAGGTACCTAAGTATACCGGTTTTGCTTGTTACTTATTGTCGTATCCTGGCTGACGAGCACACGACTCAAACGCATCCCTATATCATGTCACATTGAACCATTCGTAAACTCATTACATATCACGTAGGCATAATGTACCATTTTACGATCGATCTGCAATTAATATAACATTAATATCTAAATAGAAACTTATTCATTATCAAACTGCTAAGATAAGATCTGGTGCGACGTAATTTCATTGTTTTTCTATAATAACATTCTAAAATTACAATTAGAGGGAAAACGGAAGACTTTAATTATCATAAGATTTCAATTAAATAAATGTTACCACGATAATTATTTTTTTGCAGTAATATCTAATATAAAGCATCACAACAACAACAAGCACCCAGCATTACTGCTTCACAGCAGAAATAAGCAGGGCGGTGATACCTACCTATGCGGACTCACAAGACGTTCTACCACCTATTGTCTCAGGAATACTCAAATTTCTTATGGATTTGTAGAGCATCAAACAACTTTAGTAAAGTAACTACTTCCCTGCCTACTAACCAAACGATGATGAAGAGGACGTTGACGTGGTCTAAGAGATAGGACGCCCAGTGTACTCGTATCTATCTTTTTTTTATTTACTGATTAGATGGGTGGACGAGCTCACAGCCCATTTGGTGTTAAGTGGTTACTGGAGCCCATAGACATCTACCACGTAAATGCGCTACCCACCATGAAATATAAGTTCTAAGATCTCAGTATAGTTACACCGATATCGATGAGACTATGCCGCAATCCTTAATACGTATTTGACAGATATTCATGATGGATTCCCACGATTAAATAGTATAGTTATATTGTAATTAAAACCTAACACGTGAATTTTATTATTATTCATATTTTGCCCAGGTTGAGCCTCGCTCACCTACCTAAATGTGCGTATCTGAAATAGCCCCTTCAAGCTAGCAGCGATTAAGTAAAAAAAAAAAACAGTTTTTTTATATTTGACATATGGCATTGATACGTGGTCGCTCTTATTCGGCCCTCTCAGAAGGTTCAAAGTTAAACAAAGAGTAATGGAGAGGGCTATGCTCGCAGCTTCTCAACGAGATCGCATCAGAAATGAAGCGATTCGCAGGAGAACCATAACCGATACAGCCCGAAGGATTGCGAGGTTGAATGGTAGTGGGCAGAGTATATTGCTCGTAGAACAGATGGCTGCTGGGGCTCGTTCTTGAGTGACGTTTGCTTACCGGAAAAAGCAGCACAGGTAGGCCTCTCCCACATTAGACCTACTAGATTTTTAAGACTACAGGATTTTTTTTTATCGCCCCTGCAGGCAGACGAGCATACGGCCCACCTGATGGTGAGTGGTTACCGTCGCCCATGGACTTGAGCAATGCCAGGGGCAGAGCCAAGCCACTGCCTACCGTTTAATACTCTCCACAAGCCTCGTTTGAAGAAAGACATATCATAGCGCTCGGGAAACACCGTGGAGGGGAGCTCATTCCATAGCCGGATGGTGCGTGGCAAAAAAGACCTCTGAAAACGCACTGTGGATGACCGCAGTGGCTCCAGGTAGTATGGATGAACTCTACTCCGGTGGCGGGCGGTGCGATGGTAAAAACGAGATGGCGGTATCATTTCGAACAATTCCTCAGAGCACTCAGACAACGTAGGACTGGTCTTTGTGGCGAGTCTTGAGAGAGGGAAACCTATGTCTAGCAGTAGATGTCTGTGGACTGACATTAGTAGTATAATACGTAAGATAATGTGTTTCATACAGCAAATTTTGCAAAAACCAGATCCGATCTATCGAGATATGGTTTTGTTTCAATTAAAGTTAAAAAAGTTTAATCACCTACCTGTTATAATTTCCGCCTTTTTTTAACTAAGATTTCCTTTTAATTAACTTTTTTCACAAAAAACGTGTCGCAGTTGAAAATAACCAGTGAAATTCTGATTATTATGAATAGGTCTCCAACAAACAGTACCATTTCGTTCGGCGCCCAAACATTTATAAAGAGCATTCGTCTACCATTAGGAATAATACATTTCGTTACAATTATAAAACAATTAGAAAACTTATTAGAGTTTTATAGTATTGTTAGCTTTATGATGCAATTTGGAAATTTTGGGGCATTAGCTATTAAAATAACCGTTATGGTTACAGGAAAACGCTTTTAAAAAACTGTCCGTATATTTTTATATACAGTACACGATAAACCAATGCATTTACACGATATACCAATGCATTATAAGCTCTTATTTTAACTAATTTCATACTTACAGTTAGTTACATTTTTAATTGGTTACAAAGATATCTCTGGATTTGCAAAAAAGTCTACGACTCAGGTCTTTGGGTGCAGCCGCTCGCAAATCTTCAATTTTTCCTTTTCTTGGTTGTGCCGTAGAGCATCAGGTTAAAATACTAGTCTTTTCGTGATAAAAAGTATTTTAAAAGAACATAATACGTCTTAACGGTCGTACATGTTTGACTCGCTATGATAGAGACAAAATTGTACAAGAGACATTATTGTTTCTAATCAGGCGATAAGACACCAAATTTAATGGTAAGCTCTCATTTCAAGTACTATAATGTTAGTTACTAGGTATGCCTAATACTATAAAGTTGACAACATTGAAATTCAGTAGTTTTATTCATATTCATATTTTTCATATTCAGTAGTTTTAGAGTAGCCGTCGCTTGAACAAATAAGCAAATAAAAATAATAAAGCGATGATTTAGGGTGAGATATACCTGAACATCGTATGGCAACCTTTTGTTAGTAAACATTATCATTGTACAAGACACTTCTGTTTAATAAGGTTAAGGAAAAAATATACGATTTAAAAAAAGAAAAAACTTGTACTGTTTGTAAAGTTCATTTCCGGAAAACGAGTTACGATTATATGAAGTTACAATGAAATACTAAATATAAAAATAAAACATGAAAGATGATCATCATTATTTCTATATATTATTCCAATACTACCAGCTTATATTGTAGTAGTAGTAGTAGAAGAATAAGTAGGTGTTCTATTTTCCCGTACCATTAAACATACGATTAAAAATTTCCACACATTAAATACATGTCTTTGTGTGAGTGTTTGATTTAGGTATGTGATATCATAATAATAATGTGGAAGTTAAAATTACCTTTAGAGTCGAATACTCACAGCTTGACTTATAGTTTGAAGGAAATAACTAATCTGTTAAAAACGATTAAACAAAAAATCACTGGAACACAAACAAGATTTTTCAATACAAAATAGTTTTATTGCTTGTTACAAAATTTGAATTAATCACTAAATAGGTTTGACTAATGTTGAAAAATTTCCGTTTTAATGGCTTTTTAGATAACGTAGCTTATTAAAAAATTAATAGTTACAATTAGCGAG